GATTTGCTTCATGAAGAAATTGATTTACACTGGTAATAATCTTGAAATTAGAACCATCAGCCAGATTAGTGGGTAAAAAATAACATATTAGCCCACAATTATTAATATAAATCTAATTTTTAAAAATCAGCCACATGCAAGCTGAGTAGTAGTGAGAATATCAGGACTGGCCAGGCACAGTGGCTCACACCTGTAATCCCAGCACTTTGGGAGGCTGAGGTGGGAAGATTGCTCAAGGCCAGGAGTTCGAGACCAGCCTTGGCAACATAGCAAGACCCTGTCTCTACAAAAGAAAAAAAGGTAATTAATTAAAAGAATATCAGAACACATTGGTGATATATGAGTACACATTATTTTCTTTTATCTTTGGTACTTAATGTGGCATTGCTTATTCATTTGTAAAGATAACTAGATTATAAAAACTATATCACAAAAATGCTGACTTGGAGGTTTTGCATAGCTTGTTAAAAATGTCAAGACATTAGTCCTCATCACTAAAAACCTGTGTGATTTCAAATAATTGTCTTTAACTTTCCAAGCAATGTTAGGATATAGTTCTTTGAGTTCCTGATGACAGTGTTGTTTTGATCATATATGCATATATTTGATCTGTAAATATGTGTATGTGTGTTACACAAATTTATATGCGACTAAATTAAATAATTCAGTTCTCCCTAAAATAAGGCAGAGACTGACCATAAGCAGATTATACTGCTCATTATTCATTAGGTTATACTCAGTCTTTTAACCAGTACATTAACATGTTTTAAGTCAAGATTAGTGGCTTTATTTTATAGGAATTCATTGAACTCAAGTTCACATGTATAGTCTTCAGTATAGTCAAAAACACATGTATTACTTTACATGAACTATTTTTATATTCTGAGAGGCAGGAAAGCCTAGGGGGGCTCAACCTCAGAGGGCTGGGATTGACTCCCAGCTCTACCACCTATTACTGACCTTGAGCAAATTACTTAATTTCTCTGTACCTCAGCTTTCTCACCTGCAAATTGCAGATAATAGTGCCTACTTCACGTTATAAGGATTAAACTAATTAATATAAAATACAGACCAGTGCCTGCCACTTGATAAGCCCTTTGTAATTATCGGCAAAAGTCAGGAGATTCCCTTAAAGGCTATGTGTAATGACAACATCAGTTTTTGTTTCAGAAGATATCGCTATGGAGATAGCGTGGGCAAGGTCGCAGCTAATTGGGGTAAGGAGAAATTCATGTCAGCAAGACTTGAGTCAAGGAAACCAAGTAAGAGGCAGCTGCAGTAATCCAGGCAAGAAATGAAGAGGACTGAATTATATGGCAAGTGGTAGTGAGATCAGGAGAAGTGAAAAATATTGGGGCAATATTAGGTATAATACACAGACCCAGAGCTTGATCACTATTTGGCTGTGAGAGTTGAAGAAAGGATTCACAAAGGACTCCCAGTTTTCAGGCTGAGATGGCATTCCCTAAAATAGGACATAGAAAAAGAATGAGTTTCAAAATCTCAAGTACCTGTATACATCCAAGAGGAAATGCCCAATAAGCAGTCTATTAGAACTCAGGAAAAGCCGGATTCAGAGATATCAAACTCAGTGGCATAGAGAACAGTTCAAGTCAAGAAAGTAGGTAACATATTAGATTTGCTTTTATCCTTTTTCAATGACCAGGCAATCAGAGCTCTTCTGTTTTACCTCAGACTAGAAAACATCATCTAATGCAGTTCTGAGCGTTAAAGGGAAATCATATCGAAGATTTCAACCTTGAAGTTAATTGCAAAGTTTGTTGCAGATGGCTAATGTTTCAAAGGTAAAAACCATTTTCTAAGTGATTTGAATGAAAACATGAACGTAAGTCCCTGGTGCCACATTTCCCATCACAGATTGCAGAGTTGCCAATGATAGGCCCTTCCTTTGGCTCCTGGGGACTTAATTTCCCTGGGGAACTATTGTGGCTATTCAACTTGAAGACCTTGTAGGAAGAATCACAGTTATTTCTCTCTGGGGTCTTACTCAGAGCAAGCAATATGGAAGTAAATAGTCACTAAGGAGAAATAAGGAGAAATAAACAAGCTTTTAGCAAAATGAATGAACAATTCATGTTAAAAAACAAAACTGGTCAAATTTTTACCAAAATTATAAATTAGTCCAAGGCAGCTACCCTGTTGTGTAATCCACACCAGTTTTCCTGTTCCCAATATGAAGAGAAAGAAAAGTACATTTCAGTATATGCTAATTTCTGCATGTAGTGTTTGTATGAAAGACTGCTTCAGGCCAGAACTCAAAACTAGAAATCAGAACCAAGGTATAGGCCCAGTTCTGCCAATGCCTAATACTGTGATCTTAGACAAGTCTTCTTTGTAGAAAGCAGATAATCTCTCTTCTTTGCCCTAGTATTCCATCCAGAGTTCTGTGATGAAAAGAAAGCATTTAATGAAACTGCTCTTTGAGAAATTATTTTTTAAAGTGCCTTGTAAACACAACCTTCTCGTCATTCAGGAATAACTTTTTTTTGCCTCAGAAGGCTCCTCAGTTAATGTTGCAAATATCAGTGTTGTTCCTAGTTACAAAATAGGCTACCATTTACTAAATGCCTCATACATGCTCTATATGAGATGCTCTTATAAATTTGCTTTAAATATACAACAACCCCAGTAAGATACTAAGATGTGACCCTCTTTTTACAGATGGGAAAACTGAGACTCATAAAAGTGAAGTGATTGGCCATGGTCTAGTGGCTGGTAAACTGTAGTTCAGCCTTTAAACACAGGTCTCTCTGACGCGAAAGTCTACATTGCTTCAACAATTACATATTTTCAGATCCAAAGTTGTATTCTGCAAAGAACTCCAGGTGGGGAAGCTAAAATCAAACCATTATCACTTTTCAGTCTCACTACGAGAGCTGAGCCAGAAAGCAGGCCCGGGAATCTGTGCTCCTCCCAATCTTGTCATGTTCTCTATAGTTCTCATTCCTGATCTAAACTGTGAGAATGTTAAGATTCAGGACTAAGTCATACACACCTTTAAATATGCAGCAAAAGCAGATTTCAAAAGACACTTAAAATGTACTGCAAAATGTACAGCATTTATTCACATACAGACAAAAAGGCACAATTCTACTAAATAGTTAACAAAAAAATACAGCTGTCCTCAACTAGTTTTATAAATACTTTCAAAAAGAGGGTAGAAATAAATACAGGATTGGGCCATGTAATATAAAATAGTCATCTCTACATATACTTTAATTTCTGATTTTTAACTCTTCATGCACCTTTTTTTTTCAATTTTAGCTGAATGGACACCAAGCTAGGCACATAGTGAAAAATCCTCTGTACAAGGTTACAAATGTAATGACAAGTTTGTCCATTTCAAAATAATTAAGATTTGTACACAACACATAAAACCCTTCATTTAGATTTTGTGTTTATAACCTAACAAATGACATTCCAGGCAACTTTACAAAAGTTTAACTAGCCTACATTTTGACATAATACATTGATCATAATCAAAGATATTTCTTGGTCAGGATGCACAAGGAAAGATAAAGCTTAAAAAAAAAAAAAAAAAAAGCAAATGGTTCCATACTAATAGAATGCAAGTGGGTAGACTGGGCTGGTTGCTGCTTATGGCCACCTCATACAGAGTTCCCAGCATGACATGAAACTAACTTACAAAGCTATCATTATACTGTCAGAGAAACCGTGCTCTATACCATTTGCATTTTGAAGCAGGAATAAAAAGTGTGGGCTTTTATTTTTTTTGTGTGTTTTGTTTTTGAGTAGGTTTTTTATTTTTTTTGTTTTTGTTTTGTTTTGTTTTTTGGTTCAGCATAACTTGGAACATTTGAAAGCTTTTCAACCTAAATGTGGGGAAAAAATAGGTAAGGCATTATTTTTGCACAAAACTAGCATTCCTAATAGTGCAAATGAATCTGATACCTCTTAAAATGGTGAGAGGTCATACACTTACTAGATTAATTTAGATTTTCTTTCTATGGCTTGACAAATTATCCCTCTATAAATTCTACTCTCACCCAGAGCTGTTGCTGTAGTCAAAAGATAACTGTAGAGTCCAACCTTCTCCTGTATCCAGCAAAAGGTTTTTGCTCATATGCAAAAAAAAAAAAAATCTAATTTTTAAATTATGCCACAAGTGAATGTACACCTTGGATTCATAAGAACCTTCTATTATCTGTAGCAACAAGCTGATCTGGACAGCAGTCTTTCAAAATGAGCCCCATAGCTCAAAAATAGTCAATCTAAAAACCTGGGTCATTCTTTCCCCTCCCCTGAATTAGCTACTAAAATGTACTCGAAAAGTTAAGACTTGGTTTGAAAATGTCATACATACAATGGGGATGCATCAGATCTACTATTTGATCATCTGATAAAACTTGCATAGCAAGATGGAATTCAATAAGCCTTTTTTTGTTGTTGACAATCATCTGGAAGACTTGAAAGTTAACTACAGAACTCAAAGCATTATTTATTTATTAAGGATCATAATGTCCCTGCCACATGGAAACAGATGTGTAAATGAATCAAGAATCTGAATACTGATACTAACAAACTAAGGAATAATTTAGGGGAAGTTGGGCTTGTTCCAAATGCCCATAATTCTAAATCTCATTGCTATTTAAACTTTCCTTCTCTTAAGTTTGATTCACAACCACATTGAATTCCAAAGAAAATTAACAAGACCTTAACACTATCCACTGTCTTAATACATACGCACTACAGCGAGTGCAAAACAGAACATTGTACTCAAATTTAATGCTAAATTTATTATTGCTGATAACTTACTAGTTATTGCCATTTGCAATTAGACAGTCCAAGTTACGAATTAGAGTTTAGAACTCTGACTCCAGAAAACCTATTCAAGGGTACACTTCAATCCTTTTCCTGTATAACCTTGGTCAATAGTAAGAGCTTATCGCAATTTATTGCCTCTCTATTGTTTTTAAAATATAACCTATTTTGCTTTTTTTTCCCTTTTTTTCTTTTTCCTTTTTTTTCTTTTTTTTCTTTTTTCCTTTTTCTTAAGGAATCCGCTCATGTTGGAAGCCCGGATTCCCCGACATATGCACTAGTGGTTGGCTCTGGGAAGTATGAGTCCCCAGAGTCTGGAAGTTCATCGCTTGAACTTGAATAGCCATTGTACTGTTGGAAGCCAGATGGCCAGGTGTTGGCAATGGCCAGGGAAATCTCAAGCTGGCCCAAGAGCCAGTGGTTAGGGAAGAGGAAGGTCAAGAGGACTGGTAAAATTTGTACCTCAACTGCCCTTTCTTAGATAGAACTTTCCTAAAGGCTTCACTCTTCCCCGGTCCTATATCCACAACCCACTCACAGGCTTCAGGCAGCAGGACCTTGCTACGTTTACCCTACATCTCCCCGCTGCAGCAGCTCTACCCTGTCCCCTCCGCTCCTCCAGTAGTGACCTTTTCTAAAATGCTCTCTTCCCCTACTGCTGTATTTACACATGAATTCCCTAGTGTTCCTGAAGCTACAGAGCTGCTGCCTGTATACTATAATGCAATAAAAACAGCCTTGTGAGCCAAAATAGAAATATGATTTCAAGATCTACCATAGACCTAGAAAATAAGCTTTATGGGCTATAAATCGTATGTGAGGGTTTCTCAAGAACCATATCTGATTCCGTATATTCAGGTAACCATGAGTTTGTGCTTTGGGAAGAATACAGAAGGCAGTAAAAACTCATGAGGCTTATTTAAGCCTTGCCCTCTTTGAAACTTACTTAATTCATTCTCATTTTAGTGTTTAGTTCAGGTTCTAGTCTTAGCAGTGTCTTACGGTGACAGTCTACTCTTTTGTTTCCTCAACAAGTTGCAAATAACACAAACTTTTCACAACAATGATTTATAAGTGACTCTGGAAAAAAAAATTCAATCTGAATTGCAAGTAAATGTGTCTGTGTAGCTCAGGAGTAATGGGTTTCCGCTTGTCCCCCACATCAGAGCTCTCCTCTAGCACACCCAGTGACGAGCCCACAGGGCTTCCCACGCCACCTGTGTCATCAAGAGGCCAAGATGCTTCTCCTGATGATGTCTGTCCTCCTGCTGATAGTGCTGCTGGCATGTATACACTTCTTTTCTGATGCCTCACTCTCTGAGTCACTCATTTCCACGTCAGGGACATACCCGTCATTCTCATTGTCGGATTTTAATTTGCTTTTTGCCCTTTCCTTGGCTGGAACTCGGCCTAGGCCCAAATAGGGGTAGTCTGAGTGCTGGTGGCAGGCCCCCTCATGGGCCTCTCCCTGCTGCTGCCGTTCCCCCTTCTTTGGAATCCGGAATCCTCCCCAGTTTTTCACCGGGCTGGCAGGTGTTGTAGGCACTTTGACTGCAGTCTGATTATAGTTTACTTTGATTAAGGAGCCATTGCACTTGGGCACTAACTCCTTCCTTGTGCCGGGTGCTGACTGCCCCACTCCAGGGGAGGTGGCAGCTCTTGTGTTGTCCAGATGCCTCTGGGACACGTCTGTAGACCTGAGAGGCTTGTGACTCTGTTTAAAAGGTTTGTCCTTTAAGTCTCCTTTAATGAGATCACAATGAAAACGATTGTCTCTTCTTTTCCCATGGTCTGGCATCACCACGCCATTTTTCTGTTGTGCTGATATGAGACGTGCTTCTGCAAATGTCTTTTCCAAACTCAGCAGGCTCTCCGGGACCACCATCCCCTCCCTTCTACCACACAGGTCTGGCTGCTTTGGCAGGGTTTTGCCTTCACTTCCACAGCTATTCTGCAATGGATCTCGCTTATGGGGCTTTTTCAGTGAATGAACCAAGGAAGTACCCATTTGTTTCCTGAAGAACGCAGAATGCCACTTCAAGTCCTCTATCTTGGGAGCGTCAGGGCCCACAGAAGGACTGTTAAACAAAAGCATGTTTTCCAGTGAGGAGGAGGAGCAGGAAGAAGAAGGCACACCTATGAACAGAAAACCACAATTAAGAAAAATTAGAGCAGAAGCAAACTGAAAAGGATAATCTAGACCCTTAGTGTGGCCCAAATTATGCAAACTTTCCACCCAACAGGACAACAGACAAACACCTAATTTGTGAAAATTTGGTTTTTATAGTAAAGATATGACCTGCCTTGAGAATCTGCATTCAATCTGCATACTCGATATGCTCCGTTTTCTCAAACAGCTAAAAATTCACATGATTTTTCATAAAACAGTATCTTTTCGAGGAATACATTTCCCCTCAAACAAAATAACTGATCTGATTTTCAAAGGGGAGTGTTTGCAGAATCTGTCAGGTGGTTGACGGCTGCCTCTCCTCCCTCTACCTGGTCATTCAGCAGCAGCTGCACCAGGTACCACCACTGTCCAGTCACCTGCCGCCCGTGTGAGATGGAGCCCCCAAAGAGCAGGGGCTGGGGCTTCTAAGTTTCTTTTTCCAAAGTGTCTATAACCTCGCAGGACTATTGTAAGGACAAATACATGTAAATATGTGAAATGAATAAAGGAAAGTGTTTACAATCGTTCTTGACACATCGTATTCAAAAAAAAGGTCACTATTATTAAGTGTAAAAGGTATTTGTGGGATTCAACTGGATTGTCATCCAATTTGAGGATAAGTTAAATTGGTGTTTTTCAAACTTTTTTATGCAAATTATGGTAAGACTGAATTTCATAGCATAGTAAAAGTTCACATTTCATGAAATAATATTAACCCTCATCACTCTGACATTTTTTATTATATATTGTTTTTAAAGCTGGCCATGACCCACTGAATTCATCTCACAACCCACTAATGAACTGTAACCCCCAGGGAGAACAACACTGGGTGAATTCATGTCACATTAGAGTTCATCAGAAGGACCAACCATATTTCTGCAAGAGCCTCAAAAGCAGCTACAAAGAGCAGGTCCCATGTTTTCCATCTCCCATAAGGTATGAACCACTAGGAAAATAAGGTTCAGTCCCCAGAGTATGAGAGAGGAGCCCATCTGAAAACTTAATGTTTATCAGACGTGGACACTGCAAGCAAAGGAAACCTAACTAGCTAGCAACTTTGAACACAGACCTGTCGTGACCAGGGAGGGTTTTTCACTATCTGCTAGTTTGGAAGTGCCTGACTTTTCAATCATTAGAATCAACCTTCACGCCACACTTAATATATTTCTTTTACTGGATCACCTACCATGGGAAAACAGAAAGATAAGGAGGGACTGACATGTTCTGAATTCTGATTTCTATCTACTTGACTTGGAATCTGTGTCGCTGAAGAGCCCCCAACTCATGACCTCCCATGTGCTTATGTTTCCACAGAGGACACTCTCATTCAGCAGAATCACACAGAGTTTAAACCATGGGCCCCAATGACATGTATAAATCATGGCCATTTGCTTTGTTTCACTTGGAATCACCTGTCTTACAAGGCAGGAGACTGACTTGAGGCATGACAACTGATAAGTTTAGAAATGGAAAAAGAAAAGCATCCTGAAGGTTTTCAGCTGCGTTCCCTGTAGCATCCCACAGGAAGATTAATGTTGTTTTCAACTAATCATACCTAGTAATGGTTCTTAGAAGGAAAGGAGGATTTGTTTTCCTTTTCTGGAATAGTAGTAACACTTCTGAATGCGTATCTGCATTACAGCTGTGTTAACACAAAACACCTCCCGACCTTGTTACGAATCTCATTCATTCACCCAAGCAAAAACCGCAGCCGAGCAATGCAAAAAGCTGCCTACAATATCCATGAAAAATGATACCAGTGAAATCAGATGAAAATGCTCTTTGCAGCTTATTTTTATAGGTAACCACTCATTATAAAAGGACTGAACAAGAGTCACAGAAAGCCCTCCGATGGCACAGCTCCACAGGTACAACTGGCATTAACGATCCCAGGCAACATCAGCTCGGCATCTGCCGGCCAGAGGCCGGGTGATCTGCACCAGGCAGCCTTCCATGGGGATTGTTTATACGAGGACACAAAGGCGTGTGATAAAATAGACCCCGATTATTTGCATTAGAGTAGGAATAATGAAGAGATGGAAGTTCATTTTAAAATAAAGAATCTGAATCAAACTACTTTTACATATGATACCCTAACTAGAAAAATTTATTTTAAAAGTCTTACAACTAAACTCCAAGCTCCAGCTAATGACATATACTTGATACATCTGGAAAATATTTAATCTCATATTTCATCTTGGTAAGAAAATATCTAGAATAATGTCAGTAAGTTAATGCCGTTCAAAGTATGTAACACATCATTAAAATCTCCCTAAGCCTTTCTGTATTTGTTCATCTGACCAAGTTCCTGTAGTCACATATGTCTGGCTAGTTACAGACAAACCAGAATTTGGATTCCACAAAACAGGTTACCTAACAATTTCTTTGTTATTTCTATGTTTCATAATAATCTAGATACAGTGACAAAAAGCCACAATCACAGAAAAGTAAGAGTGAATTGACTATCACTCCACAACGCAAGCCCCGAGAATGTTGCTGCTGTAACTTCAAAGGGCAGTCGAAGGCGAGAGAGAGACCCTCACTGCCTTGCGGTGAAGTCCTGCCCAAGACCTACCCGGTTCCATGAGTTCTGTGATTCTGCCTGATCCACGCCCAACAAATCTTCCTCTCTGAAATCCTTATACTACATACTCTCTGGGGCTTATGATCACAGGATGTTGGTGCTAAAAGGGACTTTCGAGGTCATGATTCTAGACCAAACCTCTTTTTACAGATCAAATGAACCCCAGAGAGGTTAAACAACTTGCCCAACTTCGCCCTTGATCTCCAAGTAACTGATGTGTTCTCCAGAGTGGAGGAAGTATGTGTTTTAGAATTGCCTCTATGCCTAGCCCAGAGTAATGCAAAATAGAAGGCACTAAATAAATACTTGGTGCTCAATCTCATAAATATTAAAAATCCCATCTACACCAAAAAAAGCCCACTGTGAACATTATCTAAAAATGGACAAGTGTCAGTCTTAAGATACATTTACCAGATGTTACAGGTAGATCCAAAGGCTAAATAATCTATAAATCTGTTTAGGTATCCCCGTGATACATTTACCAAGTGCTCTGTAATATATAAGTCACTGTTTCACTTCAGTCTCACAATTCCAAAAGGTAGCTTGAAATATCATCCCCATTTTACGTAAGATGACACTGGGGGCACTCAGAATTAAGACTTGCTTGTATTTGGTCAGTAAGTAGAGGATACAGGATTCAACTCATGGATTTGAGGCCAAATTCATAGCTTTCCCCTTAATCATGATGTTTCAAATAACTAAAGATTTTCTTTAAATATGAAAGTCTGTGCTTCTTAAATTCTTCCATGGGATAAAGAAAATTAAAGAAATTATTTTATTTTTTTCCCTTCACAGTGTTAAGGCTTACAAACCCCTGCCCTGTATTTTGACCTACCAGGGCTTAAGGCATACCTGAAACTCTTTCTTGCTCCAAGAGCTTAGTGTAAAGATTGAATATCTGTTCCTGGACTTTGCACACAGATCGTTTAATCTTTTCCCTGCGGGTCACCATGTAAGTGAGGTTCCGAACCTAGAATGTAGAGAATAAAGATTCTAAGTAAGCAATACATTATGACAGTACTTTGGTGCTTTTTTATTTTCTTTACCTGAGAGAAACTGGTCCTACTAGGGCCTTGACAGACATGTGAAATCAAAATGTACTTTAAACAATTATCCAATCTCCTTTTGGGCAGACAGCAAGTATTCCACAAATACCCCTCAGTATAGGCAACAGCGACACAGAAAAAAAGGGTTCAATCTCAGGAGGAACATCTATAAAACTTGTGCAAAAGCCCTGCCTCCTCCACCACACCTAGCCATCCCAGCAAAGCGAAGGCCACTGGTGTCCAAGCCAAGACTTGCTCCCTCTTGTCAGAGGACTTTGCTTACCACCCATCAGTATCTTCTTCCCAGTAATTCTATTGCCAATGGCTTTAGAGCAGTTCAGAAGCCACTTGTGCTGCACTTTGTCAAGCACCTTCAGAAGACTGAACTGGGTAAACACAGGGTCAGGGGCCATCAGAGAGGAGCCCTGCAGAGGGCCCACTAGAAGACCAAATGGTCACCAAGAATCCAAGTAAACTTCTGTGTCAACTGGACACTGAACTCTGAAATGCCTGGAGCAAGCAGGTAGCTTATGTGTTCTATGAATACCTAGGAAACTTCCTTCCTGCTTCGCCAATGATTTGCTAGGTCATCTCCAATCCAGCTCTCTGCATTGCTACTGCCCTCTTCTTGATGCATTTGTAACTGAAAAGACCCAAGTGCTAAGAGCTCCCTCCACTCCCTATCTGCTTCAGATCACAGTAACCCATACTCGGTAACCAACACTCAGATGTATTCCCCATTTTTAAAGCTGCCTGTCGCCTCTCAATACAGAAACAAAATTTAAAGAATTAGTCACTATATCCCTTTAATCCTTTAGTCCTCAGATCTTCTATTGATGAACCTGACTCCATTATAAAGGCTAGAAAGCATAACATACCAGACATACAATTAAACCTTTCTTCATGAAGACGTGGACAAGACCACCTAAATAATCTCAGCGGCAGGAGTGAGAAGTGACCACGTCTGCCCCTCAGCGCCTAAAGTCAAGGCCCTGCCTACTCTCTCCTTAAACTCATGTCTTCCTAGGAGCAATTCCTTCCCCGGCCACCTTACTTTATTATTTTTCTTCCATAAACTCAACCAAGTGCTATCACGTTACTTTTAATGCAAAGAGTTCAAAGGTCACCAATCTTTTCAGGACAATGAGGACAGCAACTAGAGTCAATAAGCCTTGTCAGGACACAAAATTTTGTACTCTGGCTTAAGTACAGACACTTCGTCTAAGGTCTCCAGTCCTTTCTGAACCCTAACAACTCCAGTTGTGTTCAAGGCTCTCATCTGCAAGAGGACAGGAGGCTTTATTGAGAAAAGACATGGGCTGACTGGCTTTTGCATTTGCATCATGGCATAATCTCCGGGCCTGAAGCAGGAAAATGATCCTAACCAACTGAGGGTCTCCCTTTTTTTCTACATCTATCCCCTATATTAGTAATACTTCTTCTTTTAAAAGAAATGTATTTTAAAATTAAAGAACTGAGAAGAAAATCATTCTCCCTGTCTCAGTGTAAATAATGTTATTGTCACAGAGCCTGGGTAAGGTAGTCCCTTCTCTGACAGTTGCACATCCACCCCTCAAGCCAGGAAGTGGGTGTCCTTTAGAGAAATCCTGGCCGATGTGGGAACAGAGGTGGCCAACAGACCACTCTCTTTGACACATACCGTCCCACCTAGGGGAGATTAAGAGTGAAAACTCAAAAACAAGGGGCTAGTCCTACATCCTTGTCACAGATTTAAACCTTCTGGAAAACACAGAGAGTTTTTACATTAAGACAAGGAATCTGACTTCTGGAAATAGGAAATGGAAACAAATTCTCTGACATCCTAGGAGTAGACAGGTTGCTCTCATATTCAAGTCAGACGTATAGCAGATACTTATTAACAGATCTCTCTTCCTTGAAGTTTTCCATGAAAATGGAAAATAGTTAAGCCAGGGAGACTGAACTTTTATTCAAGCCTCATTTGGGTAGCTTTGACCACTTCCCCCAGGAAAGGCGGCTAAGTGGAAAAATCCCACTTCCATTCTCCATGATCTCTGGTGAGAAGTACCTAAATATAAATCCAAAAAGCAAAGGCCATGATTTTCAATGGGAACTTGCCAGCCCCTGACTAACCACACTTTCAAGTAGTGACACCCTAAACCTGACCTCCGTGTGTGCCAAGTCCTTATAGGACATTAGTCAGCAACCTGTGTGTGGAGTTGAACTGACATTTTACTATCCTCAACACACATCCTGTTTGTCCCATCCCGTACACTGGTCAACCAAACTTCTCCTCTGCTTCATCTTCTTCCGATTGCCAGCGAGGAGGCGCCCAAAACAACAGCTCCTAGTGCACTCACACCACCTCACACACTAGGATCGCTCCCCCACAGCAGTGGCTCGTGAAGGGAAACAGAGTGCTGGCCTTGCCTCCTTGTGGAGGGGCCCAAGAATGTGCATTTCTACCAAGTTTCCAGATAATGTTGAAGCTGGTCAGGGACCACACCCTGAGTACTACTGCCCCAAGAATGGCGTTAATAGGTTTTCTTGAATCCTAAACACTGTTTGCAACACTAAAGCAAAACATGCCTTTTGTTTAGGGAAAAACTGTCGCCTCTATCAGATTTTCAAAGATGACCATTCCACCGAGTGATGAGTAGGACTGTTCCCCAGGGCTTGGCTACTTTCCAAACCACTAGCCAGAGTGCAGAGGTAGCATGTCTTTATGTGAACAAGAACTCATTTGCTGAACTCGTTTACTGCATCCTTTAAAAGGCAATATCTAGGGGAAAGGAATCGCACCAGAAAGTGAGCCTTGGGAGCCTGAAGTGTCCTCCCACCACATCAGCAACCATGTCTTCTTCAAGTTGTGGGATCCCAAACCCTCTTGAAATCCTTCCCTGTCACCTAACTTTCAGATCCAGAACTGGTACCTAGGTGTGCAATGCCCCAGGGTGTATAACTGCAGGAGAGAGCAATGACCATAACCATTCTGAGTTGTCTGCATTTTTAATGAAGGCTACTCACTTGTCAGTTTAGGAATGACCATATGCCTCCAGTATAGTCACATGAAGTAAATAATTTTTGAGTATCTACTACGAACTGATATTGTGTGAGTTAAACAGAACACTGACTTACTTGATAAACAAGTTAGTAGTAATTTTTGATGTTCTTATCATCCCTGCCCTGATGAGCCCTTGGCCTGATACACTTATTGTTTATAATCACAAAGAACTGTGCAATTCTCTGGGGTATGGCAAAGCTTTCAATGTTTGAAAGCCTCCACCACTGAAGGCTTCATGACTAATTTGGGGAAACACATTTTTCATTACAATAAACCCGTTTTAAACTGAGACTAAATTCCCTAACATCTCTTAGACTTTTTAAAAAGTAAATGTAAGTAATGCCACACACACACACACAAATCCTGATTTATTCCCTGTTTCTCATACATCATTGGCATTGTTCTACTTCAACAGTGACAGTGATGACTCCAAAAAAAAATGTTTAGAATTTAATTGTAAGTGAATGTTAATCTGAGTAACTTAAGTACAGAAAAGAGTTAGTACACCACAAGCATTTTCTACACTTTTATTTTGTGGTGATTGTGAGACAAACACAGTCCAAACATTAGACTTCTTGTCCTCCCCTCCCAAGGACTATCTGACTCCACAGCTCATGCACCCCAATTACAGCGGTTGTCGGGTTGGGATAATGGATTCTCACCAGGATTCCAGTTTATCCTTCTGAATCCCTTCTCATCCCTTAACAAAAATGCCACACATACATGTGGTTGAGGCGAGGTCTTCTTTACACTCGCCACCAGGGGGCGTGTGGGAGCACAAAAGCCTCACAAACCGGCTCCCAGCTCCTGCCTCCCCTTGGCCTGAATCAGCCGCCTTCCCAGGAATCCCAACCTGGTCTGGCGCTCAATCACCGTATTAAAAGGGTCTCTAAAGAGCACTTAAAAATACTTTCACTTCTACCCCATCGCTAGCAGGGCTGTGCAGGTCTCTGTGCGATCTGGTTCGGTACTTCCCGTCTGTCCCTATTCTTTGCCTCCACTCCCATTTCACATCACCTATGAGTCAGATGCTCTCCAAAGCAGGTGAGTCACTCCCCACTAATAAGCACGGTGCTCCAGGGAGATGTGTTAACTGTTTCGGGCCACTTGGGTGCCTTTCAGCGCAGACTGCTTCAGGCCAGAGAGCCTGACCCCTTATCTTTCACACTAATGAATTTAATCAGTGGGCAACAGACAGGGAGTTGACACAGAAGGTGCTCTAAGCAGCATCCCCAATTAGCAAGCTCAGTCAGAAACCACCTACAGGGAGCAGGGGCCCCTGGGGGGAGGACGGCCCACTCCTAATTATTCCTGTAGCAGGAAGGGAGGTCCACACCGGGACCCCGAAGGTAATGGAGGGCGGGGGAGGCACAAAGCAGCAAATGGCTGAAGTGCCAGCAGCTGAGGCTCCAGGCAGCCCCCACGGTCAGCGATCCGGTAGTGCGGTAAACAGCGCATCCGCGGCGTGCTGAGTGTGACCGGGGCTCCTCACACAGGTCGGATGCCCCTGTGCACCAGGAATCCCGCCCCACACCCGCAGACACACCAGAGACACGATGGATGAATGGACACACACACACGCACACACACACACACACACACACACGTATTATATACGCAGCCTCAGTGATGACTTAGCACCTCACTGCCAGGAGTGTCTTCTGCAACGTGCGTGTGTGGTTCACGCACACGCACAGCACAGCACCCACAGCCTGCTCTGCTCCATGACAGTACTGGGAATGTCCCTGTGAGTTAGCCAAAAACGAAGGTGGGCCAGCGAGAGGCAGTGCTTAGCTCTCCTTAGTGAGCCTGTCACCAGCACCTAGTGTTTGCCCAGCCTGAACGAGAGATTTCCCTGTCTCTGCGCCCCCTGCCCCCGCCATAAATTAAATCCATTCTGGTTTTCTACATCAGTTGTGAATAGTTCTGAGTCAACTCCTTGGTAATTTTCCTGGGGTTCAGTTCCCTCTAGCATTATAATGAAGGAGGGGAAAAAGACACACCCCATTTGATCTTGCAGAACAGTAAAGATTAATGGGAAAGCGTTTTTTAAAAAAAATCACAAAGAAGCTCCCCACTCAGTGGCAGTCTTGCACATATGTACAATGAGTTTACCAGCCCATAAATGCATTTAACCAACACAACCTCATGCTGCGGTGTGTACAAGGGTCTGAGAGCAAATGACTGGCTATCATTTCTTGCTCTGGGCGAGCATTCGCCTCTTTGCATCTTCTTCTCTAAGTCACTATAAGGTGTCAGTGTCAATCATTACCCTCTCCAGGTCCTGCCGCAGGTGTGTGAACAGCTGCAGCCTCCTAAACAAGACATCCTGCTCCCGCTTGGCTAGATTGTCCTCTTCATCTTTCTTTGGGGTGATCAGGGGCTTGTTGAAGTTGACCTTCCTCTTCAACTTCCAGTACTGGTACAGGAAATCCACTACTTCCTCGGGCAGCCGCAGGGCCCTGGCAACATCCAGCAGGTTGACGAAGGTGTAGAACTCGTCCTCCAGCTGTTGCAGCTTCTGCTTACGGACACTCACCCGGTGGGCCTCCTCCCGATTCTGCTCAAGGCTGGCAAAGGGCTCCAGGGGATTCCGGGGGGAACACTCAGGGGCCCCATTCTCCTGTGTGCCCCCCTCGCCGAGGCTCTCCTCAGGCTTCCTGTGTGAGCTGTGCTTCGGGCAGTAGGACTTGAACTTAACTTCATCGTTCTCCGCCAGGATGGTCTTCATCTCCAGGCCCTGGTCAAAAGCACAAGTCACGTGGAAGGCCGTGCGGCAGTTCTTCACAGAGCACTGGCAAGAACGTGCAGAGAACAAGAGAAAAGACCGTTATGGACCAACCACCAACAACGGAAGCCCCTCCGTGCAAGGCAGCCCTGCACACCCATGCACAAAGACGAGCCACACTGCAAGCGTGTGCTGTGACAGAAAAGTGTTACATGGATGACCCCTGGCAGATCAAGTCATTTTTTAAATGAGGTAGGGCTTGGGTCTAAGGGCACCATTCAGAAGAAAGGTTTTATCAAGCAAACCCTAATTTCATAGGAAAATAAATGCATCCAAATCCCCTCTTAAAGCAGACACGATCATACACATGACACATGTAGATGAAGGTATCCTGGCACTCAAAAGAACTTGTACTCGATGTGCAGAGTTTACACTGAGATATTAACATGATTTTTCCTATTGATGCACTCTTTTAGTGTAAAGCTTAAATAAGAATCTCCTCAGAAAGAATGACTCACGGTCATGGCTTTAAAAAGGAACACAAGGCCTCGTTCTGACCCCAGCCAGGACGAGTCCCAATACAAGCGGGAACATAAGTTGCGCACTTGCACCTCCTCAAGGCAGCACCGAGGGGTCATGGCTGAAGAAACTAAATAAAAACCCCAAGGAACAGGAGACAAGAAGAATCCAGCACAGGAAGGACGGGGAAAGGTCTCACACCGGTGAGGGAGCACTGCTGGACGCGTGGAGGGTGCGAGCCCTGAGATCGGCGTGTGCCATGCCTGGCAACTGCAGGGCGGTGCCAGAACCGTGAGGGACCCACTCCTGTGGGTCACCAGGCATCATCAAGCCGTGCAGAACACCTCCCCTCTCCGCTGCCTAAACAAGGGCTATGATTTAGTGCCTTGGATCCAGACGGCAAGCCTCTGGCCTTGCAGGAACAAAGTGATTAACTTCTCCCCGTCTGATCTTGCTGAGCAAATCCCTGGAAGGAGGTTCCTCGTGGTGACTGAAGCCAGTCCCTTAAAAGCGACACTGTATTGCGTGAGGCCAAGTGATCCCTGGGGCATGCCAGGGCTACAGAGAGGAGCAGAATCCGGTGGCTCCAGGCCAACTGAAAAGCTTAATTAAACTCATTCGACTGACCCTGAAGCACATAAGCACGGATGGCAGAGTCTAGAGTTTGGGGCTTTTTCCCCTAATCATTTCAGTACTTAAGAGACGACTCACTGCTAGCCATGCTTTCTTCCATTACTATACAGAAGTCTTTCACTCAGAAGTATAGAAAATCCAGCGCCCTTCAACATTCCCCCATTACAAACACCTAAACCACATGAACTGACATGAATCTGTAATTTTATCTATAAATAACCTCAATTCCAAGAAATGTGTGAAATCAGGTTTGGTGGCAGAACACACACACCCGCGCACACACACACGCGCACACACACACCTGGCCACTGTCATGAAAAGACAAAGTGTCCTCCCTCGTAGCACACAGCCAAGTAGGAAGTAAAAGTGGGAACAGATGACTGAGACACTATCTGTGTTTGGCTTAAACTACGCTTAACCCGAGCGCTCCAACCTTAAAGAGAAATGAGCTGCAGCAGAATATTTATACAGGACTTTGTAAAGACGCCAAATGGCCTTCCTCTGGGTTTTCCCATTCAGGTTGACTCAGCAAACAGATGTTACAGAAATGTAAACCAGAGCCTTCACAGCTGCAGACATTTCAGAGAGGAATTCTTTTAATAAAATCAATCCATTCTGTAAAGATATGAAAAATCATCAGCTTCGTTGGCCTCTTCTTCAAATTAACGTTCTGGGAAAAAGAGGTCAATGGCAACAAAAAAGTCATTATATTGTCTCTCTTCAGAAGGGGAACAAAGATCCCATTTGCCCACCTCTTTGAAACATCAGTTTGGACCAGGACCGGCATGCTCAGGAACAGGCACACATGCTAAGCTCAGAAAATCAGACGTGTGGTCCGCCACAGCCCGCTTCCTGCCTGCACACGTGCGCGCACACCCGCTCTCGCGCCTTTCTCTATTTCCCCGCCACTCTCCTTCCCAAATCCATCTCTCAGGTCATGTTTTGATTTTAAACATATTCTACTCACATACAAAAAAATCTTCACTATTTTCAAGGTCCCCAGCCAAATCCCACCAGCTGTCTCGTGCCCCACCCTCTGAATATGTCTATTACATTTTAGATTCTCGAACACCAGTAGAAGTGATAAAGAAGAAAAGTAGAACCACTTGGCTTGTAAAAAAATGAAAAGTTTTTAAAACCACCAATCAGTGGGTACCTTCCCAAAAGAAATATTTATCAGCCAAAATATAAACTGGTTGTGCCAAATGAGGTCATTTCTCTAAACCCATGGCTGGCAGTTTAACCATGCTTCTGGAGTTTGTATCTATGCGAGCCATTGTGTTTTCTGTACTGAAAGAGAAGCTGTTCCCAAACAGTGCCTCTGCTCCCAGAATTCAACACGAAAACTGAGGAAGAGCCTGTGGCCTATGCTGGTATATCCCAGAGGAAGAGACGGGCTGGACCTTTAGAGCCAACACCAGCTACTCACAGCATTTCAGGCCCCTCAAATCATGACTGTCTAGATGTCAATAATGTGAGGACCAGAAATTAACTTCTCAGGCAGAGTTTTAGATAACATGAAGGAAACAGCATGCACGCCATCTACGTTCCCTCCTTAATCTACCTACCTTGAGACTTTCTACACTGCATCTGGACATACAAATGCAGGCAGCATTTTTACACATAGGTGCTCCATGTCTCTGTGACACACACAGACACACACACACACACACACACACACACACACACACACAGTGCCAAAAAGAATCAGACATCCAGATTGTGTCTGGACCAGATAACGACTTATGAAAGAGCATAGTGCAGCACCTCATGGATGCCCCTCTACCCAGTGCTCCAAGGAGTCTGTTTCTCCAACCGTAAAAGCATCGGCATGCCCGGCTGATCGCAAACAGGTGTGTGCACACCTGGGCAACCAGCAGTCTCTGGAGGCAGTCACAGGGGCAGGCCTGGGTCTGCAGCTACATGTGTGACGGCAGGTGGGAGGATGGCCACGTCTAAAGTGCCAAGGAGTGTCTCTCTAAGACCTGGTTCTTCCCAAGAGATGTCTGCCTGTGGGAAGAAGCTGTGATGCCAGGCGTAGGGCAGAAACGGAGAAACTGGAGACAAACGGGAACCACCTCACTGCTCAGGCTGACTTCTGAATTACCCTGTGATTATTAAAGCTCAGGTTCTGGTTACACTGGTAACAATCAGCCAACTAAAGGCTTTGTGCTGCTGGAGTCATCCGTCAGAACGTCGCCATGCTCCCTGGACCATAGTCCCCTCTCCAAACCCTCAGACAGTTCGCAGCACCCTCCCTCATGCTGCTCCCTGCAACACAGGAAAGGAAAATGAAGCCATTCTTGCAAAGCCAATTACCTGTATGGAGGCCCCAAACTTCTCGTTGCAGAGGCTGCATACCAGCGCCCACCGACTACTGGGGATGTGGGACACCTTTGTGATGGGCTCCATCTTCTCAGGGCTGCCGATGCTCACCTACAGGTCAAAAATAGTAAGAAGGGGTGGGAGAGGCTGTCAGAGGCTGAACATGGACATCAGAAACTTAAAGATCCATTACTTTCCTGCATCCCTCCTACCAGACAAGGGGCAAGGTGCACTCGCCCTCCTCAGACAAGCAAACCCCTACTTTAAAAACATCAGGACAGCCCCAGGCACCCAGCCAGTGGCAGCAGAGCCCAGAGCCCAGTCCCCATCTGACACAGACACACCTGCTTGTAAAAAACTCAGATAAACTCTTATGTATCAGGACAATGCAATCTACTAGACCTCTGGCCCACAAGGCATTGGGCAGGACTAAAAATCCAGCTTAAATATATTTAAGTAAGTTGTCAACAATAGGGTAAGTAAATATATGCTGTTTTTAATCTCTCTCACTAAAGAAAACCATTTTCTTCAGAAAACATGACTACATTCAAAGTAGAAAACTACCAAGATACATAAGGTAGCATCTCTGTATTAAGCCTGGTTCACTGAACTGTATCCTGTTAATACCAAGCCATGAGATCCGGTGCTACCAAGACCCAAATCATGAAACCTCAATCCAAAATCATCCACAGATAATTTTCCTCAGGAGGAAAACGTGCCAAAATCACATACCAAAAAAATGCTGAAATTTGAATCACAAATGATATTCTCATAGTGAGCCATGCAAATTAAATTAGTCAAGGTCTGGGACTTGAAATAAATTAGACCAGACCTGAAATTAGAAAGGTTGAGGCAGAATAAGAATTTAAATAAAAAGTCACAAAAGTGTGACCTAGAGCAGTCGTTCTTTAACCACGGTGCTGCGACACGCACAGCTCGCCAAGCACAGGATTCACGGCCACACCTGGGCCGCGGCTGGTCAGCGCTGCAGATCCGCTCCTGGGAGTGGGTGTCAGCAACGGAGGGCTGAACCCCACCAACCTACAGACCAACTCACTGGTGCTTCCAGTTAACACTTCCACAAATTTACCATCCTGTCATGATGCCACAAGGTAACAGTGTGCTTGAGATTCAGTTTAAGGAGGGGAAAAAAAGGCAGCAATTAAAAGGTGTCTTTTTCCTACTCATCAGCTACAATGGTGCCTCTTTATGAATGGCTCCCACCCACCAGCCAACCCCAGTTAAAAGCCAGGGCCCTGTGAGCTAAGGTGCTGTTAAGAACCACGCTTACCTCAGGGATCCACAGGGCACAGCTGACGTGGACCCACTTGGTTCCGCTGCGGGTGGGCTTCATAGCTCCACCCTTCTTGGGACACAGCAAACATTTTGGCTGAACCCCCAAGGCACATGTCCGGCACAGCCAACTGCCCTCTGGTACCTTGAGGATTCCATAACAGGCCTGTAATGCCACAACACACCCCCAAGGAAAAGACACAAAGAGAGAAGATTGATTTTTCCCATTATATCGATTAATCTTAAAACACCTAGAAAAATTTTAACAGAATCACCACCAAAATAAAATGGAGATACTCTCACATCTACCTAGCTCTGACCCTCTCCCCTCAGGAAAAATGCCAGGCGGCCTCCAGCAGCACTTAGGAAGTGTGTGCGCTCCGCAAACACAATACATATTCGTTTAGCTGGGGTGGTCCCAGCAACTTGAGGACAGAAAGGTTTACAAAACTCTGCTTCACTGTGTTGCTACAGAAACCCACCTATACCAAGTTTCAACACTCTGTAGGGTTAGGAGGCGGAAGCTGTTTCTTTCTGCTTTACTGATGGAGGTGGGATACAAAGTGTGGAGAAAAAACACAAAGCAGTTGACAGTGTCCCAAAACTACTACGAAGCAGCAGTGGAAACAGGAAACGAACTAAGGAGCACCCTCGTTCCCCATGCTAAGCAAACTCTACTAACTAGATCCCAACTCTGCCGAGGGAACGCAACAGAGGCAGAAAAAGGAGACATGCTAGACAAAGAGAATGTAGCCTCTTTAGCTGATATTTAAAACAAAGTCCCTTTTGCACAAGATGGCAAAATTACAAAAGACAGCATAAACTGCAGAAATCGAGGCTTTTACTACTAAAGTAAGACGGCTCGAAGAGATAAGGCAAATGTTAAGTGGAGTAAAGAAACAAAACCATGATGAGACCAGAAACATATTCAGAGAGCACTTTAAAAACCAAACTGTTCAGAACTTTATCCTTAAATGACCTGGAAGCCAGGAAGTCGAGAGTCACAGTTACACAGCTCTAATTCTCCAGACAGAAAAAACACAGCCGCTATGCAATCTGAATACCCAGGACGCAAAAAGGAAACCACAAGGATGAGAGTTGAGCAAAATAAAGTAACACTAAGAGTGGAGCCCAGGAGCATTGTGTCAGTGCCACGAGTAAGCCACTGTCAACACAGACTTACTAGAAAAAAAATTTCTTTTTAATGGAGCTAAATGACACTATGAAGATTTCAAATACGAAAGGTCTATAGGTCTATATCAGGCATTTTAGTGTCACATTTGAAGACAAAATTTTCTAATGAAAAAGAGATCTAAGCTAATTTAAAAGACTAAATAAAGTATGCCTTAAAGACAAGTCATGAAGGATTTCTCAAAAGAAAAACGAAGTAAATGGTAAGAAAAGAGACAACGTGGCACAGCAGAAGGAACAGAAGATGGGGAAGGGGGTGTCCACAGCCCGAGGTCCAGTTCCAACTCTGCCACCGACCCGTTATGAGATCCTGCACAGCCCGGCCCTCCCATCCATTAGCTCATCTATAAAACAGGAAGTGTGACCGGTTTTCAAGCAGAACCCTTTTGTTCATAACAATTTTTATAGGAAAAAAAAGAAGTAAGAAGAATGATAGGAAAAGACTGAGAAGTCATCCAAGTAAACATGAGAATCACCAGCAACAAAAAAGCAACAATGGTAGCCACACTGCTCACGATCACAGAACAAACCACCACAAGAATTCTCCGCTATTCCAAGGAAACTTCCGAGACCATATAAAAATCCAGAGCTACAAGACCGGCTATGAAGAAGAGTCTCGAGTCTCCTTGTCAAGATGAGCTGGGACAAGGCCACAGCTGGTGAGGTCTTCAGACAGGGAAAGCCCAGAGGACACTCACACTGCAAACTCGACTCTTCTACCCAAGAGGCCAGCAGGCATCCAGTCCACACAAGCTTTCCTTTAAGTGTGTTTTAAATCTCAACATCGACAGGTGTATCCAAAGAAAATATCCCAAGATAGCCTCTTAAATCATAAGAATATATGGGGGCACATGTGCCCATACAAATCAAATTACTTCATTACTGCACTAAAAAATTTTAAAAACTGTAAAAAGCACTGATATGGTAATAAACTTTTTTTTTTGAGACAGTCTCGCTCTGTCGCCCTGGGTGGAGTGCAGTGTAGCGTCACTGTAGCTCACTGAAACCTCAAACTCCTGAGCTCAAGCAATCCTCCCGCCTCAGCCTCCCAGAGTGACAGGATTATAGGCATGAGCCACCACACCCGGCCCTTGTCATAAACTTTTAAAATTACCCAGTGCCCAATCTCACTGAAGTCCAAAGATTTACCTTTCTATGGATGGTAGCAAGTAACCACCAAATCCTCTTGCCATCAGGGAGGATGGAAAAAAACCTTCAAAAAAAGGGGCTGCTTTCCTCTCCTTTGATAGCTCAGTTTACACTTAAGCCGTGCTAGCAAATGGTATGGGTTGAATTGTGTCTTCTAAAAGACATGTTGAAGTCCTAACCCCTACTTTAGAAAGAGTCCTTACAGATGTAATCAGTTAATATGAGATCTCAATGGAGTAGTGTGGGCTCCTGATCCAACGTGACTGGTGTCCTTCTAAGAAGAAGGCCATGTGAAGACAGAGACACACAGGGAGAGCAGCAGGTGATGACAAAGGCAACTGCAAGCCAAGGCATGCCACACTGCCAGCACCCCACCACGAGCTAAGAAGATGCAAGAAAGGATTCTCCTACATGCTTCAGAGGAAGTACAGCCCTGCTGACACCTTGATTTGGGCTTCTGGCCTCCCAAACGCAAGACAAGGCATTTCTGTTGTTTTAAGCCACCCAGTTTGCTGTAATTTGTTTGTTATGTGGGGTAGCCCTAGGAAACTAATACAGCAAACTAATCACCTTTTCAACAGTTTATTTTTTTCAGCGTTCTTAATACCTAAACTCAGGTGTTGGAGCAGGACAGAGGGGGCTCACATATTCTTTTTAAGTAAACTTGACCCCTACAGTAAGAATAAAACACTGTATGAAAAAAGAGGATTTCCAAAGAAGATCTTAGTGTTCTGGCTACAAAAACAGCAGGGCATACTTCAAAGATTATAAGAACCTACCAGGGGGAAAAAAAGAAAACTATAGGGATAACAAAAGCGATCCATGTAACCAAAAACATTTGTACCCCTACAATATTTTGAAATAAAAAAAAAGCCTATAGGGTACTTTTCTTTAAATCGTGTAGAAAAATGGACCCCATTTGGGCTCCAGTAGGCATGCTCCCACTGGCAGGTGGGCTCGTACCCCAGGTGGCTTCTTCTGGCCTCACTGCCCCACGTACCTGGTGCACACAGATGTTGCATTTGTCACAGAACACCATCTCATTGCCGTCCTCACCATCAGGTGACTGGCAGACATCACAGACAACATCTTCATCATATTCAATCCCCAGTCCTTCTTCGGTCTCTATAGCGTGATTCATATTGTCGTAGCAGCGCTGTTCAAATTCCTCCAGGACCCTTTCCATGGTGTATTCATCCAGTTCAGGCATTCCTGAAGGGAAAAAATGCCACAAAACCCATTTTAATAAATCCACATTAATAAATACTATGATAAAACAGTATGAGTTTATTTATCCTTATAGATAACTACAATGAATTAATTATATTATAAATAAATCCATCCCTGCACACCCCCAAATTTTCCACTGAATGCTGCTCAGACCCTTCCAGGAAATGATCTTTAAATTAAAAGTTTTCCACACATCAGTTTGCTCCAGGAACTGAACATATAGCATAGCAAGTAGAAAAACAAAAGGAAAATCCCAAAAGGATTCAGGGATATTAAATACATATTACCGTTAAATAAGTCATTTCATTATAGTTATTACACTTAACAACTAACATGTAAGTGACTTCAAAACCATGACCACATATTATGGTTTGGGTAGTTTTTAAAAACTTGCCTTTCTTGTTGCTTTTTAAAATGGTTCTCTGGAAACAGATTTCACTGAGAGCACTAAACATTTTTAAATGGTTTATCACTCTCCTCACTCTCTGAATTGTGCTAAGTTAAAAGGCACAGTTAATCAGATGCCTAAAAGACTGAAACACAAGGCAATGTCTAAGCAAAGGAGACAGTTCAGTGTCAATCAAATGAAATGCATTCTTATGCAAGAATGATCAAAAATAAATTTCAAGTGGTTATTGTGGCTATAACTAGTGTTAGGATAAGACTTTTATCTTCTTCTATTTGTGGACATTTTCCACACCTCCTGCAATGAAAATACATGTACAGAGAGGAAGATACAAATTATAAAAAATACTCAAATGAGATATTTAAGTGGCAAAAAACAATGAAGTGTCATTAGAGCCTACGACAATGTATATGAATTATCATAAATTTTTAAACTATCCAGTTAACTTCCCAAGTTTTTAAAAATTTGGTTAAATAGTAACTGAGCTACTCATCAGACTCTGATGGTGAACACATTAGAGCTGACACTTGGTAAGCCCTAAACACGCACTCAGAAGGGCCACGCTATTTAATTATCAGATGGCTTCCCATGGCCAGGCACTTTTCATCCCTATTCCCCTAGTTTAAAAAAACACCACTGGCTTTGAAAATACAATACTATGCCCTGTAATTAATTTTTACCATAAAAAAGACCCATAACAACTAAGATCAACATCTTTAAGCATGTGTGTAATTTATGTTACACAACTACATAACTTACTCTGCCAATGTATTCAGCAATATCTTTAAGTCTGATAACGGCCCAGTTCTTACTATTTAAACTATTCACGAAAGTCCCAAGAGTTTTTGGGCCAAGTCCTCTGACTTAACACAGAACACCTAGAGTCAGTCATGTGTATTACACTGGTCTTTACAAAGCTGCTTACAAAGCAGAACTTTATCATCTAGGAAGCTAAAATATAGTATTCAGTTCCAAGAGATCTCTGAGAACTCCTGAACAAATTCTGTAAAAACAACCTCCTAGCCTGCTAATGTTCTGGCCATTAATACCTAAATCAAGGACCAAAAGGAAGGAAATTCACTTTGTCTATCAAAATACCTGAGTAGCCAAAGAAATAGAAAGTAATAACATGCCTGGCTCAGTCTACACTAATATTCCCACCATTCAACAGGCTGGTGAGCTAAAGACAACTACTACATGCCAGTCCCTGTGCCAGGCTCTACCCACACAGAAGAAAACAGTCTTTGCCCTCCACGGCTTTGAAATCTACCACTCGTGTAACTATTTACTATCTGTGCTACACTGCAAACAAACAGCCCTTGCCACGACTTCCTCATCCTGCACCAACAGCACAAATGCTAATTAATCCTCAGTCTTCCACACTGAGCCAGCCTTGACCTCACTGCCCGGCTCATCGCGACCCCCAAGGCACCCTTAGCCATCAGACTCAGCGTGAGATGTGAGGCCTAGAAGCCACCCCAGTCTCAACACCGTGGCACGCGAGTAGCGGAGGTGCAGACTCTCCAACCCCTACATGCACTAAAATCAGCAACTCGCAGCAAAGAGACCATTCTGGGCCGTCTACTCACCTGGAGGAGCCTTCGCTGAAGGAAGGCCAGGACAGAGATAAGCAGGTAAGAGGGAAAAGGCAGGCCAGGTGTGAAGCAGGACTTAAAAAGAAAATCACTGAGGTGAAAACACAAGTGATGTGCTTGGAAAACAGTGAGGCTGGCTGGAGTGGGGTTCGCTTTGAGAAGCACCAGGCGCAGCTAACGAAGAAGGAATCTGAATGGCGTCACAGGAAAGAAAACGTCCCAGCAGGAATCGATAGATTCCACCCTTCTGCCTCTTAACTTCCCTGGGCCCCAGTCCTTCGAGGTAAATCAGTGAGTGGGGATTAGACCAGAGCAGGGATGGGAATCCGCGATGGAGCTGGCAATGACGAGCTTTTGCTACTCACCTACACACCTAAAATACTTCTCTATTCATCGTTGGTTAACAAAACATCAATAATACGACAGGGTCTCTTACCCATCTCCTTAAATTCCTCATTCGTCAGCTCCAGCCACGCAGCATCCATGTCATTGAGGTCATATCGACACACGCTGTCGGCCAGCGTCCGAATATCGACATAGCCCAACTCTGAAGGCTCAGAGCCTGACGAGACGATGTACTTCTTGGGCCTAATGAACATGAGGGATTTCTCTTCAGACACGACCCTGGTTGGTAAGAAAACAAGGCAGCCAGGTTACCCTTTCTGCCGCATAGCAGGAAGCTTGTCAGAAGGCCCGACTACGGCTTCCTCCTCCACCCTCAGAAGCCCAGGACATCACCAGGTTCATTAAAAACATAGGCTTAAAACCTGACTATCACTGCTAATAAAACCCCAACCAGAAATAGTTAAAGCCCCCAAAATGGAAATAGAGTTGAGTGAAAACACTTCAGAAGTCTTCAAAATCAGCTTCCCAGGACACCACAGTGCCCTGCCACCACGTAGGACTGCGGTCGCTCTGGCCTGCTGCCAACACCAAAAAACACTGACCCCCTGAGTTTCAAGGGTTAGTCATTAAATCACTTTCCATTAACCAGCAGGCCTGCCCATCCCTGCTGGCGGCAGTTACAGCCAAAGTCTACCGCTGGGTTCTCAAGAACACCTGAGAAGAAGAGAACAGCCATGCACACCACACAGCCACACAAGCAGCGCATACGCAGCAGACTGCTGGGGGCGAAGGGAGGCACCTGTCAACTCAACTCACAAAAAGAGAGGAAAAAGAAGGAAAACTAGGCCTTAGCCATAACTAAAAAAATGTAAGAATCAGAGTCCTAGTCAAGTAGGGGACTCTCCCAACATAAACCAATGATCCCAGGAACAGAAGCACAGCTTTCCTCTTCTCCTTATAATGTCACACACGCCCATAACATAACACCTGCAGAAGTGCCATCCACCTCAGCCCACTCAAAACGAAGGATTGAGAAGAGCAATCACTCCCAACTTGGAACCAAGGGCCCTCTTCCTAATCAGAGGGCCACAAAGTTCCTTCACGTCTCTGTGTTTCAGCAGTTTTTGCGTTCCTATCAACAGGCTGCCCATAGAGTCTGTCAGAGTATTGTATTTTCATATCCCTCATAAGAGTGATTTTATCTACTAGAAACTGAGATGCGCAAACTGAAAAGCTTTATTTCTCCTACTTAACCAAAAGCAGGAATCCAACCAAAAACTTCCACGGGCTGTGTTAATGCTCACTTATTTTATCCTGAGCTCCCAAATGAAACTAAACCATTCAGCAATAACTCCCGGGCCGGGACCGCCAGTGCTGACATGGGCAGTGCCGCGTCTCAGATACAGACGGCGAGGCACACGCACTGTGTCTGTCCCCCAGTGAACACTCGCCAAGCACAGGACTCAGCTACGGAGGCCATCTTCGCACTCCGGACTGTTCATCTGAGCCCACGTATCAGCGAAGGACTGTAATAACACAGGGACATTTGTCACCACTGGACAGACTTCTCAGTGATCCCAAATGACAGCAGTCAAATTCAATTATTTCAAATGCCTGAAGAGACACGAGTGGGCCAAGAGACAAATTCCACCCACACTCGGCACGGAGGAAGAGGCCACCTTGAAAAGCAGGAAGCTGACTACTGGTGTGGCAGGGAAAGCAGGTGCTAGCTACGCACAGAGGCACTCGATCCTCTCTCCCCAACAGGAGACTCCAGGTCACACAGAGCTGGACGGTAAGGAAAGGAGCAAGGCTGTAACCCGATTCTGAGGAGAGTTAGCAAGGACTCAACCCTTAGGGACCCCTGAAGAGGTTAAGTGATTCGTCAATAAATCCAGAAGGCACCAAAGACAACAGAAACAGATGCCTCCTCAAAAACTCCCCTTTCCACAACCCCTAACCTTGCAGGCCTCCTCACACCTGTACTCCAGAAGTGGAGTCGACCATTGGAGAGCAGAGGCGCCGCCCTTGCTAGTTCCCAATAAGGCCACACTCTTCTCTCCAGTGGAGCTGCTCTCCAGAGTGAACGAACAGAGTGCAGGAGAGGAGCAAGCAGCCATGTGAACATCCAAATTTCCCTCCCCTAGCCAGTCACTTTCCAGAAGTGTCTTCCTCTCCTAAGAGAGCGGCACCTCCCCAAGATGGCTATAACATTATGTTTGGAGGTCCCTGGTCGGCAAAATCACTATCCTTCGTGTCTGAAGTGTGTTGCTACCACATTTCTATTTGAGGCCTCACGTTATTTTACTGCTAACTCCGGAATTGCCTCTTCTCAGGTACTTGGCTGTCAGGGAGGAAAGGCGAGGGAGGGAGGGAGGGAGGCAGCTCTTCTCTCCACGGCATCTCTACCTGGCCACGGGCTGGGGGATGGTCCCTGGGCTCACTGGCACCTGGACCCCTTTCTCCCACTCCTGTCTCCAGGGATCTGCCAGCACATAGTACTCATCCGGGTTCAGCTGGTAGGAGTCATGCAGCTTCATGGCGGTGATCAGGTCTGTCCTAAACACCTGGAAAGGGAGAGAAAGGGACAATGACATTTGATATTTGCATTCTTCTTCAGATTGCTGGCAGCTGCAGGGTAACCATGGAGCTGCCGTGTAACAAGGTCACTGTATCAACAGGATAAGACTGACCTATCACAGAAAACCCTTTGCCTGACACACCTTTTACCTCCCTCGGGCTTAGGGTGGCAGTGCTGCGAGAACGCTGCCCTCTCACTCCCTCAGTCAACAGGGCAGTGCCTACAACAATGTCAACACAACAACAAAAGAAACCTGCTGTCCTCTGAAAAACTTCTAAGAACTCTCAATTCACCAAGAGGACTCCCAAAAACATGCACCTGAAAACCCCTAGAGAGAGAGATTTCACTCAAGGGTGCTCTTTGGTAAATGTTTAGAAATAAAACTCCACTAATCACATAACAACCTCAAACCCAAACCTGCTAGAACCACCAGGGCCTTATCCGCTATACACAGCCTGCCTCTAACCCAGTCCCTGCCTCCCAGGACACCGGGGTTTATGGCAAGATATCTGGTGAGGTCAAGGTCAGGTTGGCTAGTGCCAGGCAGAAGTACTGGCCTGGAAAAACTTGGGCAACCACAGGCCACTGGAGAGTGCCTAGTCAGAGGATGGCCTTTGCAAAGAGCATCTATTTGCACACCTTCACCTGGCGTAATTCCACCCAGGAAGTAGTATTTGTGGGGAGAGGAAATAGAGAAAGAAAGAAATACAGTCACTACCCTCTCCCAACCCTGCCAAAAACAGACCCACAAAACTCAAAAGTGCCCCTCTGACAAGAGGGCTCCCCAATTCCTCATCACAAGCCTAAAGGAAACCGCAGGAAAGGCGGCCCTCCCACAGCGCCTGTTCCTCCCCAGATTTGTGGGCCGGTGGCATCCATGGACAACAAGGCCCAGCCCTGGGCAGGGCAGAGCACAGCACCAACTCCCAGCCAGGGCTGCACAGCTGGTTCCCTTTCAGGCTCCGTCCTTGGTCCACTCGCATCTGAGGGCTACATGAGGAAGTTCTGACCTTGGCATCTGCGCCAGCCGATAGTTGTGTTTGGCACAGAGCGGGCTTGCATCTGTAAGCTGCCCTCTCTGTTTACACAAGCCACAATGCTAAACTCTCCTTCTCAGGACAGGGAGTTCTTTCTTGTGCTGCTAAGCACAGTTCACATCATACGCCTGCTAATACATCCGTATTTGTTTTTCCTGGTGGCTTTTCAGCCCAGTGATCTCTTTAATAAACTTCACCATAATGAAGTCTGAGGCAGTGTCTGAATAAAAAGGCAATTTCTCCTGCCTGCCATTTCCAACACCAACTTTTCCCCAGTGTGCCCCTCCTCATTTCTGAAGTACCACTAACAAGCAAGAACGCAGATGTACGCCTCCCACAAAATCATGCGCAGCATCAGGTTCCCTTCAAACACGAAGCTGCTGAAGCAGGTGCCCAGCCCAGCGCGTACTGCCTTCAACAGCCTTGCCTCCCCTGCCCCCGAGAGAAAAGTACTTTAAAACCCAAGCCATGAGTCTACGCCTTCAAGAAGCCAATCAGGTAAAAACATACTCCAATTAAGTCATAAGTAAAAGACAAAGGAGTATGCCCAAGAAGGAAAATCGAACTTAAGCACTGTAAAGCGAAAAGGCAACCAGCCATCCTTTACTCAAAGACTTGGAGGAACTGGTCAAGAACCAAAACAGATGCCCTCAAACGGACATGAACCCCTGAGTCCCTAGCAAAGTGCAACACTAGTGCTTTATGTATATGTGGTTTAAACTCAGAGCTGAACTCAGAGAAATTTTAGAAAAAAATCTGGACCAAAACATGGATCTGGGACAAGGCCAGCGCGGCGTCCCATGCTGCTAGGGGTCCTAGGCTGCCCAGCCCCTCCTCGCAGCTCGGTGCCAGCACTGGAAGGGGGTTCCGACTATATCACCAGGCACTGGCGCTCATTACACAGGTCACGGCTCCTTACTAGAGTCCCCCTTGGATTCCTGTGCTTAAATAATAGGAGCACAGTGTGAGCATCAGAAAGGTATTTTGCAGGTTATGGACACAGCACAGGAATTAAAGAAATCGGAAGAGCAGCAGAGATGCTCCAGGACCACAGAAAAGGAAGGGAGCACTGTAGGTTCAAAGGACAAAAGGCCTGGAACAAACCAAGGGGACAGAGTAGCCACCTTCCCATGAACATTTGATCTAATGCTTAAGTGTCTCCTGGGATGGTTTTCCACAGTTCTAGAGGACGAACACTACTTCCTCATGGAGGATGTTATTCCACAACCCAATAACTCTACTCCTCAACACAGCACCCTCCTGACAGGCCCTGTTAACAGTCTGGGAAGTAGCTTCAAGGAACATCTGCTCTGCCTGGCCATTACAGGATGAGGTGGTCTTTAAGGTCATCCCTTAACAGGCAGCATAAAACAAAGCATTCGACAAAAAACTCTCTTCCCCATAACCTGCTCGCTTGAAAACTGACAAAATAAAAGGCTTTTTCTTCAATGATTTAAAGCCTAGCAAAGGTTTTCGGAGAAAATAGATCTCATAAAGGCCAGCAGAGAAATGCACCTAAAAACAATTTTAAATAGAGATAGGTAGGTAGCTAGGCGGGGAGAGAGGAGGAGAGCGGGGGAAAGAGAGAGAGAGAGAGAAATAGCAAAACTGGGGGAACAGGGGAAACATAAGATGAGAAACAAATTGGGAAAGGGGGGGGAGCCTTAAGCGTAATCCCCAAAACAAAACTCCCAGAATTACATTGGGTTGTTGCCAAATAAGCCACAAATTCATGGCTAAAACTAACTTGAGGCTGGCAGTGACTTGACAGCAGCTGAACCCGCTGATCTCCTGGCCAGAGGAAAAGTTGTTGGGAGCCAGCGAAGATGGAACAGGAAAGGAAAAAAAGAATACAATTAATAATAATAGCTAACATTTACTGAGGACTTTCTACGTGCCAGGAACTATTCACGTGCTTTGTACGTATTAGCCTATGTGTATTAACCCACTGAAGCCTCGAGAGTCCTGCGGGGTAGACAGCTGTGTCATCCCCATCTTACAGATCTGGAAGTGGGGCACAGGGAGGTCAGGCAACTTGCCCAGGACTGCACAGACAGACACCAATCAACCAGGTGTGGGGGCCGCATGTACTCATGCACACACGCGTATGACATGCACAGCCAGGCAAGCGTTCAGGAAGTACCTCCGAAGGCTTTCGATCTTCATGCCTGGAGCAGGAACTTCTCCTGTGCTGGGATCGGGAATTCTGGGACCACGTAGTTGACAAGCCTACAGAAACAAATGTCCAAACAGGTCACTGAGTGTTCTCAAGGGTTTTCTTGCCCAAATTCATCCAGGCTCACCTCACCACTGCCTCACGAGAGGACCCGAGATGCCCTCTCGGCTCTTAAGTACTCCTCACTCCCACCAGCTACCGACCCTCATTTCCCAAAGAGGCCTGACGCGATCCTTCCGGTCTGCGCTGTGTGTGGGAATGCTGTGTCCCAGGCACAGCACAGCACACGTAAGACGGGAGAGGACTCTAAGAACATCACGCAGGCCGTGCTTTCACCCACAGAGCCTGCACTTCTTAAGAGGTTCAAAGTCTCACACTGGTAAATACGAAGTGAAAAATATCTTACTCAGTTTTCAGTAAGCTTTCTAAATGCTAAGATCATTATGCTAAATCCTAAGGCCACCCCCAAACATGTTTTTAAAAAAAGGTTTGACTCTTAAAAAAAAACAAGGTAAAATTTAGCCTTCGCTAGAACAGGGAACCTCAGACCTATAGGAAGTATTAGACCTAACAGACCTTAGCAGAGACTATGTGGCCAATGGCCAAATAACCTTTCAAATTACCTACTCCACTTTCCCATGGAAATATCAATTGGTTCTTTTCTCTCCCTTTCTTCCAAAGATGCTCTAGTCCTGTCATCTGGCCCCTCCCACACCAGGGCATTGCTGCCTAACAGGGTGGGAATCTGAGCTCTTCTCTGGCCTTGAGACATGTCTACAGCACCAATGACTCCATCCTGCATTTCAAAATGCTCCCTCAGCCTCGGCTGCAATTCTCTTTCCTGGGTCCCCACTCTGTGGGTTCCTCCTCTTCCATGTTTCCCATCAACACTGATATCTTTCATGAACTCTTTCCTCCTCTTGCTTCAAATGATCTCCCTGGAGAACACTGACCCACAGTCACACACAGCACACCTAGGGCAACCCGCATTCCTAAACTAACTTCCCTCCCAAGCTCCAGATCCAGTTTCACTTTCACATTAGACATCAGCCCTGAGGTGGTCCCTTAGATGTGTCAGCTCATCAGCATTACAGAAACTTAGTTCGACATTTCACCCAAACCTGCTCTGCCTCTTACATCCCTACTTTGATGAGTATCATCACCTACCTGAAATCAGAAACCCAAGAGTTGACTCCCCTCACTCAGGACATATCCAATCAACAGCTGAGTCATATGGCTTCAACTTTCCAACACCTCAGAGTTCTAGCCCCTCTTCTCCATCTCTGCTGCTGCCTCCTGTCACAACTGCAAAGCCCCGTTTGTGGGTGCTGTGCTGCTGCCGGAAACTCGAAACAGCCCTCACAACTGCCCGCAGTAATTGTCCAACTTCCTAATGGCACACCTTCACCTCTTATACTTATCATCTCCCCAATCCTGAATATCTGCTGCGCATTTTTCCAGAAACTAACACCCAAAAAAATAAAAGCCAAAAGCCTGAGGGAACTGCGATTCTACCAGTGAAATCACTCGTCACTCAAACAGGAAGCTCTTATCTCTACAGAATACAGAGACAGGGACAGAGAATCAAAGCACCCTTAAGACCTTGGGGGCATTGAGGAATAGATTCTGCACATGAGCCTATCATCAGATTTGCAATGACCAAGACTACAGGGGACTGCCAAGCGCCCCTCACAGGGAGATGTCAGCACTACCCTTGAGCACCAGTTCTGAGGCTCATGTCTAGGTCAACTGACTGCTGTGATGCCAGTAGAACTGGAATTCCTACCGGTGGCCCTATGGCATTTCAGTAAATATTTTAGAAAACTCTTCTTTGTAAAATAATAAGTGTGTCTCCTTAGACTCCAAATGAACAAGAATGTTTCATTGAAGGAAATATTCTGGGCATGCTGGTATGATCCCAACTTGCAGAAGTTCTAAATGTGGTCACTACTGGAAAAAGGAAAGGCAGAAGCCAAGTTAGGAACCTGGAGATGAAGGTGGCCGGTGGTTCCTAACATACATAGAGAGGCCTCTTTCTCCCTCTGGTGCCGGCGGCCATCCTCCAGCCAGTCTACAGCCCGAAAGAAGAGATAAGGAAAAGCACACTCAATGTCTGCGTGGGATTCCCAGGAGGTGCAGGGAGGGAAAACGCAGGGCAAAAAGGGATGGCTCCTCTACTTTGAATTGCTGTGGAAAGGGTCTTACATAAATAAGGGACAAAGCCAGAAATTTTTTCTAAAAAAATCAGACTACTGCTAAAAATTAACACAAGGTACAGGGGGAGGAAGAGGGTCTTTAGAGTTAAATACTTTCAGAGTTAAAGTAGAAACAACAAATTTGCCATTCTTGGATTTTGTGACCCTTTTATCTCTTCTTGTAGACTCGTCAAGGTTCCTCCCAAATAGTTTCCAATGTTCCCCAAAAGTGTGCAGCGTTGCTCACACAGAACACAAGCCAGGTAATGATACTCCTTTGAAAGCTTTTCCTGGGATTACTTTTACATATCTTGAAAAGTGGTGTCTGCACCATATTTTTTCTTTTTTTTTTGAGACAGTCTCACTCTGTCGCTCAGGCTAGAGTGAGTACAGTGGCATCATCACAGCTCACTGCAACCTCAAACTCCTGGGCTCAAGTGATCCTCCTGCCTCAGCCTCCTGAGTAGCTGGGACTACAGATATGCACTACCACACCCAGCTAATATTTGTCTTTTTTGTAGAGACAGGGTCTCACTCTTGCTCAGACTGGTCTTGAGTTCCTGGCTTCAAGCAGTCCTTCCACTTCGGCCTCCCAGAGTGCTAGGGCACCATGCCCAGCTTCACATCGGCTTTTAAAAACAGATATCCAAATACTATAAATTTGGTATCTAATAATATTAACGAAAAGAAACTCTGGTCCACCTGAAAATAGTCTGTGCCTCTTCCTCTTAATTTACCTAGTGTTGATATAATGCAGAAGGAGGGAAAAAATGAAAGCTAATCCCATTAAACTCACTTTGCAGAAAGGGAAAGATTGGGGGAAAAGAGCTAAATTTCTATTGTAACTGGCATAAGGAATGTTCTTAGCATATTATTTATAAAAGCCAAAAAGCCAAAAACCAAAAAGAGTGTAAACACCCACCAACAGACTATGAATGACTAAACTGTGGTACATCCACAGGATGGAATACTACCCAGCAATAAAAAGGAATGAGCTACTGATAACATATAACATGAATGAATGTTGAAGTCATTTTAGTGAAAGCGAGACAAAAAAAAAGGTACACACTGTATTATTCCATTTACATAAAACTCTGAAAATATAAACTAATCTACAGTGACAGAAAGTATTAATAAATCTGTGATTGACTGGGGAAAAGTGGGAGGGAAGGATTATCTTGGCATTTATGATTCCACGGATGTAAACACATCAAAATGTATCAAAGTACACATTTCTTTTTTTTTTTTTAAGGTCTCACTCTGTGGCCCAGGTTGGAGAGCAAGGGTGCAATCACAGCTCACAGCAACCTCAAACTCTTGGGCTCGAGTGATCCTCCCACCTCAGCCTCCCGAGTAGCTGGGACCACAGGCACATGCCCGGTTAACCCAGATACTTTAAATATGTGGGGTTCGTTGCATGTCAATTATCCCTCAATCAAGCTATTAAAAAATTATCACTGAGATGTCATCCATTAACAGTAAAGAGAAAGAAAATTTTCTATTTTAAATTTACACAGGTTGTTTTATCAAACCTAGACTTTGCTGCTGACCAGGTAAGATCCAAGGAAACTGCTCTGCCTTCTATGTCCAGTAGGCAGGTATTTGTTGCTGGTGATCTCTTCCTTCTGATTTTCTTGCTCGTATCATAAACAGTTACTCTATTAAGAGCCATTAGTATTAAGACATAGGATTTACAACATATAGCTAAGTCTGTGCTGTGCTTACAGCAGATTCTCAATAATATTTTTTTGAAAAGTGGACAAAAAGTTTTCTTAAAAATTGTCATTGTTCAGGACAGTCAGTCATGCTCTAAGAACCATCACTGTAACCCAAGAACTAAAGGTGGCAGGTACCAGGAACATGCTTCTGTTTTACCTAACAGAATATATGCTTTTGAGCTCAAGCAAAATGAAGTCGAGGAAAATAAAGCGGTAATACGTCTGAAGATAGATCGGTAGAGCTGCTGCCTCCTTCTTGGACTGCTGCACCCACATCTACAGACACATTCATGAGCATTCACAGGCTGCAGACTCCGAGCGAATGTCTTGACACTGCTACACCTACAACCCCCCCTGCAACCATGCTCTCTCCAGACATTTCCCAGACAGTCAGGAAGCTCCCGGAATATTATCAAAACAAAAATAATTCACATCCCTTTTTAATGGAAAAAAATGTTATGTTATAAACACTTTTCAGAAAGTTTTTGGGGGGAGGGGGTGCCAAACCAGAATTGAGAATATTTCAAACACCAAAAAGACAAGAAGACAGTGATTTATGCTATAGCAGCAAAACAGCAGCCACTTGTCAAAAACTGTGTGCTAAGATTATGCTAGGCAAAGTCATTCCCAAGCCAGAGTAGAGTATTAAAAAAAAAAAAGTTTTATTTTTTTTTGCTTTTAGGAGGGGAGTTGGGAACTCTAAAAATTTGGAAATAATGTTTAAAATTATTTTATTGCCACTCACAAGGTAAGATGATTACCTAAAGTCCACTCTAGTGACAAATATAAGTGACTTAAAATTCTTGACATTGTATGAACAATTTTATTTTAACTATATGAAACAATGAAAAGAATGAGTGGGGAAAAAAACATTTTGTCTTGTTTTTAATATCTCAAACTTCCACTAAAATAGAACCTTTTGGGTTAATATAAAGTTATAAAAGGTTCATAGATTGCAGCACCATGAACATGGACCCTGCCCGAGCATAATGTTCCTTCTGGCTCTATTATACAGACATCTCAAACACTCCCCTTTGAAATATTAAAAATAGCCATCCTGTCTTGCCCTAGATCTAAAATAAGAGAAAACCTCAAGAGTAAATTTAATACATACTGCACACCTTCCACATGTGGTAGCTC